TTGAATCAAACAGTGAAATATGATATATTAAGAACTATGTAATGTTTTGAACGACCAACAATAAAAAAAAGAAAAAAAAAGAAAATCTTAAATATTTTTTTTTTATCCAAATGTCATTCCTACCTATTTTGACTCTGGATTCACGTGTCAACTCTTTTCTCTAGATATATTGCATGTCATTGACTAATATTTCTATGTCTCAAATTCACTACTTCTAAAGTTAAAAGTTCAGAATATCAAAATTTTATAATGTTATAAAGAAGAATCCCATCAGAAAGGCTAATGTGTCATGCTCACATATGTAGTTTGTGTACTGTGTGACAGTGGGAAGGAAGGTGAGAGGGCATGCTCCTCTGGAGTTTAGGATGGAAGGAAGAGTCTGCCCACTTTCCCTTTGCTCTCTGAAGTAGCCTCCAGGGTGATTTATTAGAATTCCATGAGCCTCCAGGGAATATAAAAGATCATTTGAAGATATTTATTTGATAATCTAGTCAGCAATTTATACAGTGAATGGACTAGAAAAATCAGCTCGTTGGTCCAGGGAGAAAACCAGGAAGCATATTAAACTTAGCTGGAGCTGGTTCATGTATGGAAAAAAAAAAAAAAAAGGGAAAAAAATCTTCTGAATTTACAGAGAAGAAGCCTACTGCAAAACTCAGGCAGCCACACAGGTACCCCTTCACCTCAATTTTTGAAATTGTGCCAGAAAGATTTCAGATATGTTGCTCAGAGAAATAGGCACGAGTCTATTAGAAGGGATAGGGAAAAGGGGACACTCTCAAGGGAGAGAATGGGTCCTCTCGGAGAGGAGAAGGATGGAGTACTCACTCCTCCTATGCTCTAGTTTATTTGGAGTCCCAGGGAAGTTTCCAGAGAGTCTTTCCCAGGTCTGCCTCTTGACTGACAGCATAGGAACTGTATGGACTACCCCAAGAGAGGATGGTATGGTGCTCATAGAATAGGAAACTTTAAGGATATTGATCCCCCCATTTTTGCCCCATTAATTGGCTTATTGCCCTTTAACTAGCTCTCAGGGAACTTTATTTGTGAGGGTCTAGATGTTTTGGTTGCCAGGGTGATTGGGGGTTGTGACAATTTTGTTGAAAAGGGAGGTTCCAGGCCACCTGGTAGTGTGAGATTAGGTCTTGAAACAGTAGTGTTTCTTAAGGGGATGTAATTGTTGTCCCTTAACACACCATGCCCCTTCTTCCAGGTGTTTGTCAGGTAAGTCTTCCTGTGGTTTCAGTCATCCTTCCTTTTCCTTCCCTTTCTCATGCATTCAGGCCTGACTAGCCACCTAACACTGAGATGGAGCTTCTGTCTTGTATGTGACTGGGGGTTAAATTGGCATACTCCACATCATGGTCTTGGAACTCTAACATAAGAAAGTAGCTTTAAAAGGTGAAAGAAAAAGTCAGTGGACAGTACAGTAGCACAATTTAATCTCTGGTCTTTGTGGTACTTCTGTTACATGGCGATAGGATTTTATAGATATATTTAAAATTACTAGTCATCAGACCCCCTCCTTTTCAAAAAACCCTTTTAATGCTTTTAAAGATATTAGTGCATAGTTATACATAGAAGTTGGGTTTGTTTTTGACATGTAATGAATTTGTTTCATTTTAGTCCTTGGTGCCGCCCCTTACCCTCCCTTCCTCCCTCTCCTATTCCCCTTCCTGTACTCTACTGGTCTTCCATTTATTTATTTATTTAATTTTAACTGGTACTTTATAGATATACACAAAGGTGTAATTCACTGAAGTATTTTTATACATGCACATAGCATAATTTTGTCACTTTCATTGTACATTTCCCTCCTTTCATATCTATCTTCCCTTCCCTTCAATCTCCTTCTTGGATTCCACTGATCTTCCCTCTATCCTTATTATATCTGAACCCCCCTTACTTTGCTTGAGCTTCCACATACAAGAAAAGACATGCAACCCTTAATTTTCTGAGTTTGGCTTATTTAACTTAGTATAATGTTCTTCAGTTTCATTCATTTACTGGCAGATGCCATAATTTCATTTCTTTTTTTCTAATTCAATAAAACTACATTGTGGGGCTGGGGATGTAGATCAGTTGGTAGGGGATACACAAGGCCCTGGGTTCAATCCATAGCACCATCACCACCACCACCACCAACAACAAAACCAACTACATTGTGTATTTATACCACATTTTCTTAATCTATTCATCTATTGATGGACATCTGGTTTGCTTCCATAACTTGGCTAGTGAGAATTAAGCTGCTATAAACATTGATGTGGCTGTGTCACTATAGTATGTTGATTTTAGTTCTTTTGGATAAATACTGAGGATTGGGATACCTGGATGATGGTTTCATTCCTGTTTTTTTGAGGAATCTTCACACTGCTTTCCAGAGTGTTTGTACTAATTTGCAGTCCCACCAACAGAGTATGAATGTGTCTTTTCCCCCACATCCTCACCAGCTTTTGTTAATTATTTGTATTCTTGATAAGTAGCATTGTGACTGGAGTGAGATGAAATCTCAGTGTAGTTTTGATTTGCATTTTCTGATTGCAGAGATGTTGAACATATCCAGGGAGGTGCAGTGTAATCATACTATCCTTGAAAAGCAGAAGACGACAGACCGAAGAACAAGAGAATACAACAGAAAGATAGGTCAGAAAGATTGGAAGAATGAGAAGGATTTGATACATGGTTGTTGACTTGAAGATTAAAGGGTCACATGCTAAGAGTGAGTTTGGAAGAGAAACCCCAAGATTCAGATGAGACTATACACATGTCAATTCCTTGATTTAAGCCTAATAAAAACTTACACAGATTGTTTAACAACATTATGCCACAATCTGACCTATAGTAACTGTGAAATAATAAATAAATATTGTTTGAAGCTGCTAAGTTTCTGGAAGTTTATTATGGTGGCAATAGAAAATTAATAACAGTAATTAAAATATATCAAACATAGATGAATACTGAAACACAGAACTTAGAAAATCACACACAAACATAGAGAGAGAAATAAAGAGATGGAAAACATGAAATAACAATAAGAGGGATAACTATAGTTCTGTCATATAATTTAAAGTCTGATATTGTGATGCCTCCAGTATTGCTTTTTTGACTTAGAATTGCTTTGGTTCTTCTGGGTCTTTATTCTTCAAAATGAATTTTAGGACCATTTTTTTCCCTAGCTCTGTGAAGAATATCATTGATAGTTTGATGGGAATTGCATTAAATCTGTCTATTGTTTTTGGCAATATGGCCACTTTAACAATATTAATTCTCCTTATTTGTGAGCATGGGAGGATTTTCCATCTTCTGAGGTATTCTTTTATTTCTTTATTTAGTGTTCTATAGTTTTCTCCGTAGAGAGCTTTAAACTCCTTGGTTAGATTTAGTCCAAGGTTTTTAAGGTTATAGTAATGGGATTGTTTTCCCAGTTTCTTTCTCAGAAGATTCATTACTAGTGTATAGGAGTAATTTTTTTGTGTGTGCTTATTTTTTAAAATCAACTCTAGAAATCTTCTGGTATAGTTTTTTGAGTTGTCTAGATATTGTATCATGTTATCAGCAAACAGAGATCTTCTGCTTTTTCCTATTTGTATCACTTTAATTTCCTTCTCTGATTGCTCTTCATAGAGTTTCAAGAACTATATTGATCAGGAATGATGAGAGTGGACATGCTTGTTCTCTTCTGGGTTTTAAAGGAAATACTTTCAGTTTCCCCCCATTCATTATGATGTTAGCTTTGGTTTTGTTGTATATAACCCTTGTGATGTTGAAGTAAGTTCCTTCTATCCATAATTTCTTCAATGTTTTTTTAATAATCAGTGGGTTCTGAATTTTTTTTTTTTTTTGAGAGAGAGAGAGAGAGAGAGAGAGAGAGAGAGAGAGAATTTTTTTAATATTTATTTTTTAGTTTTCAGCAGACACAACATCTTTCTTTGTATGTGGTGCTGAGGACTGAACCCAGGCTTCACGCATGCCAGGCAAGCGCACTACTGCTTGAGCCACATGCCCAGCCCCGGGTTCTGAATTTTGTTGAAAACTTTCTTTGTGTCTGTTAAGATGACTGTGGGATTTTTGTCCTTAATTCTATTTATGTGGTGAACACATTTTTTGATTTGTGTATGTTAAACCATCCTTCCAATACTGGGAAAACTCAATGTGGTCATGATGTACAATCTTATCAATTTGCTGTTGAATACAAGTTGTGAATATTTTATATAGGAATTTTGCATCTAAGTTCATGAGGGATATTGGTCTGTTTTTTTTCCCTTGATGTGTCTTTACCTAGTTTTTTTAAAACTTATTTTATTTGTTTTAATTAGTTATACATGACAGTAGAATATATTTATGCACTTTGATATATCATATATAGATGGGATATAACTTTGTGAGTGTACTTGTTGTAGAATCATATTGGTCATGTAGTCACATACATTCATAAAGTAATACATACATAAAGTCTGTTTCGTTCTACTATCTTTTCTATCCCCATATCCCCTTCCCTCCTTTCCCCTCCCTTCACTTCCCTCTGCCTAATCTAAGGTAACGCTATTCTTCTCTAGTGCTCCTCCCCCCCTGTTGTGAATTAGCATCCACATATTAGAGAAAACATCTGGCCTTGGTTTTTTGAGATTGGCTTATTTTGCTTAGCATGATATTCTCCAACTCCATCCATTTACTGGCAAATGTCATCATTCCATTCTTCTTTAAAGCTGAGTAATATTCCATTGTATATATATACCAAATTTTCTTTATCCACTCATCTGTTTAGCTATTGTGAATTGAGAGCTGCTATAAACATAGAAGTGGCTGCTTTACTGTAGTTTGCTGATTTTAAGTTCTTTGGGTATAAACCGTGGAGTGGGATAGCTGGGTCAAATAGTGGTTCTATTCCAAGTTTTCTGAGGACTCTCCATACTGCTTTCCATAGTGGTTGCACCAGTTTGTAGTCCCACAAGCAATGTCTTTCATCCTTGCCAACATTTAATGTTGCCTGTATTCTTGATGATTGCTATTCTGATAAGAGTGAGATGAAATCTTAGTGTAGTTTTGATTTGCATTTCTCTAATTGCTAGAGATTTTGGACACATTTCATATGTTTGTTGATTGATTGTATTTCTTCTCTGAAGTCGCTATTCAGTTCCTTAGCCCATTTATTGATTGAGTTATTTGGTTTTTTTTGGTGTTAATATTTTTGATTTCTTTGTATATCCTAGAGATTAATGCTTTATAATAGGTGTATGTAGTAAAGACTTTCTCCCAACCTGTAGGCTCTCTCCTCACATTATTGATTGTTTCCTTTGCTGAAAAGAAGCTTTTTAATTTGAATCCATTCCATTTATTGATTCTTTATTTTACTTCTTGTGCTTTAGGAGTCTTGTTAAGGAAGTCAGATCCTAGGCCAACATGGTGAAGATTTGGGCCTACTTTTACTTTTTTTAGGCACAGGGTCTCTGTTATATAGTACCTAAGTCTTTGAATCATTTTGAGTTGAGTTTTGTGCAGGGTGAGAGATAGAGGTTTAATTTCATTTTTCCACATAGGGATTTCTAGTTTTCTAATACCATTTGTGGAATAGGCTATCTTTTCTCCAGTGAATGTTTTTGGCACCTTTGTCTAGTATAACATAACCGTATTTATATGAGTTTGTCTCTATTCTGTACCATTGGTCTACAAGTCTATTTTCGTGCCAATACCATGCCATTTTGTTACTATAGCTCTGTAGTATAGTTTAAGGTCTGATATTGTGATGCCTCCTGCTTCACTTTTCTTTCTAAGGATTGCTTTAGCTATTCTGGTTCTCTTATTTTTCCAAAAAAATTTCGTGATTGCTTTTTCTATGAAAAATATCATTGAGATTCTCATAGGGATTGCATTAAATCTGTATTACACTTTTGATGGTATGGCCATTTTGACAATATTAATTCTGCCTATCCAGGAGCATGGGAGATCTTTCTGTTTTCTGAGTTTTTCTTCAATTTCTTTCTTTAGTGTTCTGAAGTTTTCATTGTAGAGGCTTTCACCTCTTTTGTTAGATTGATTTCCAGGTTTTTCTTTTTCTTTCTTTCTTTCTTTTTTTTTTTGAGGTTACTATGAATGGGAAGTTTTCCTAATTTCTCTTTCAGTGGATTCATTGCTGATGTATAGGAATGCATTTAATTTATGGGTGTTGATTTTATAGCCTGCTACTTTGTTGAATTCATTTACTAGTTGTAGAAGTTTTCTGGTGGAATTTTTTGGATCTTCTAGATATAAAATCATGTCATTGGCAAATAATGATAGTTTGAGTTCTTCTTTACCTATGTATCCCTTTAATTTCTTTCTTTTGTCTGACTGTTCTGGCTAGAGTTTCAAGGACAATGTTGGATAGAAGTGATGAAATAGAGCATCCTTGTCTTGTTCCAGTTTTTAGCGGGAATGCTTTAAATTTTTCTCCATTTAG